GGAATTTTGGGACTTCCGGGCTGGATTCGCCCTCTTATGCCTTGCCCTCGTGCGAACGGAAGCTCAACTGCTACCTTGAGGAAAAAACCTTATTATAATTGTCATGGTATCAGAATCGACATCCAATCATTCTTCGTTCTTTATTTGATCCCCACTCTGATAATAAGGGCTATGTGACCAGGTAACCGTGTGAGGGCCAGCTTTCTTACATAAGCGACGTTTGATTTGCTGCACTTGCACACTCGGACAACGCCATCGCTGAATGCCATCCATGTCGCTTCTGCTCAAAGAACCTCGGCCGGAGGTTGTTGCTTTCAAGGTGACCTATTGCTATGGCTGTTAGGTCTTTGGGTGCTCATCTGACCGAAAAAAAATCAGGAAAAAGCGCACCACACTCTTCACCGTTAGCGTAAGCGTCGCTCTTCGCCCAGCTATATGAAAGCATGAAGCGTGATCTCTGCGCTCAAGGGTGACAGCGATTTGCTATTCAATTGAGAGTGTTTCACAATATCATTCATTTTCAAGATTCCCAACCTATAAAACTTCCAGTTTTTTCTTTGTGATACCCAGGCCCCAAACATCAGCAGCTCATTTCAGGAAAATTGGCCTCAGTGGATCCGTGAATAGCAAGTAATCCAGATCTTGAGAGGACCAGTGATCACTGATTCAGCGCGGATCCTCACATCTCTCAAAGATTAAGTGGATGTCCTCAAACACATCAAGAGTAATAAATCATGAAGAAATTGCAGTATACCATATTTTACTATATGAAAAGGGAGATTTTCCAAGGAACGCGTAAATTAGTAGTATCCTGATGTCCTCTTTTTTCCAACACGAACATGTTTTAAGTTTTGATTTTCATCTTTATATTGCTGGTGCGGTCAGTCGTAGGATTGGCTGGTGTAGTCATCCGCGAAGCTATTGGGCTCGGGTGAATCACTGGTTTCCAGGTTTTTCAGGTCCGTTGTTGATTGGCTTTGTAACAGACTTTTTCAGTTATGGTCGTTCGTTCGCGAGACGTCTGCATATTTCTCACGCGGACACGCTGTTTTTGACGACTGGACTGCTCATGATAACGGAGCTGTGGCTGATTCTATCACAGCCCTGGCTGCTAAAAGCAAGTTGGTACAGCGCAAGATGCAGGATATACACTCACTTGTACCGAAGGTAGTGGTTGTTTTTTTGTGGATACTCGCCGTAAACCACGGTTGCCCATTCGAAACGCGTAGACATAGAATGATAAGTGGACGAAAAGTTCCGCTCAAAATGCAAGGATATCACTCGAAAACTCTGGTAAATGACAAAAAGGTGAAGTGTTCTCCAAATAAGAGGGAAGTTGGGCGTCTGAATTGGGTATATCTTTCAATCGGCAATAGTAGTCAACGGAATTATGAACGTTGGAATGATCAGTGTTTTTGATGAAAACGTACCTAAGGATTGTTGTTTGACTTCGTTGTTTTTGAACTGTTTATTTTTTCACTAGTATTCCGGATTCCCTCTTCTTGCAACCTCAGCATGTTAGCTGTAATTATGTTAGTTTTCTTGTACGTTACGAAGCCATAGGTGGAATAAGTTCACTTATAGTTTGTAAGGCGGGCCTCTCGAGACAGACGATCCAAGGAATTGCAATTTCCGCGGACATGAGGTAGAATATGATAAGTAACGCATCAACTTCGTGGATCGCACGGTTCACCCTGGCTCAACCCGCCGCGGGTTTCCGGCCCTTGCTCCTGCTTCGACCGTTCATACTCCATTGTGCTTGAACTCGGTCATCTAGTATGCTGGTGGCGGCCCTTGAGTCCTTCCGGCCTTCTTAACTTCTTATTCGGCGCTGTCGTCCTGGTCCAGCAGCTACGGGTGTCCATACGAAACAGAAGTGAACACGTCTCTATTACGCAAAGAATGGCCACAACTTATATGTCCACTCACTCTCTATCATTCAGATCTTCTTGATCTTCTTCCATTCCTTTCTTTCACACGCTCCCTCACTCCCTCACCGTTAGACCATTGAATAAATGTTCCATCCGTATACCTCACAATGCAAAAGAAAAGTACCAAATTTATTTTACCAATTTTGTTCTGCCCACCCCTTCAACCGAATTGGACAGAATACGGTATACTTTCCATGATAGGAGAAGACATGTTGCTTTTCTGTATTACGAGAAAAATTGATATTGCGACTTGGAATGTCTGATGGAGGGGTAGATTAGATGGAATAGAAATAGAATGATGGTAGAAGTCTGAAATTCCACAGATCGTTACGTGCACATTTCATTCTTTACTCCAAGAAAGATTTATCACGACCATCCAGTGTTACGAAATTACTTCCGCCCTATGCCAAAGTGTCACTCCATTCTGGGTTTTATTGTTTGTAGGGGCAAAGTGGGCTGAGTCACCGTCAAGGGGCTTAGTTCATCGAATGCTTTGCGGCGGTCGGGTTACGACCGATTCGCAGTGTATTGATTGCTCACTCTTCCCATGATAATCTTTGCTACTGATTTCTCCTGACTTTCACGGCTCATTCCCAACTGCTCAAAGAATCAGTCCCACCTCTGATTCAGCTATGGAACACAAACACACTGAAGTGTTAGGCAAGCTTAATCTGGACTGCTAGTTCGACTTTTTATTGTTTCGACGGAATTCCCGATACGCCTGCGATCAAGGTGTACGAACGCATCAATACTTCTACTATCTCTACGAATTCTTTGGCACCTATCAGCAAAAAGCTTTCAAATGTGTCTACGGGTTCGAAAAAGAGCACGATGTCGCTGCTCGGCGGGTTCAGCTATTTGTCAGGTGACAGCCCACTGCCTGACCGTCCGCGTTCAAAATCGATCCCGAATGACCGCGGTGAACCGGAACGCTCGGATTCGTGGAAAGATGTTACCAAAGCTGATAAATCGAGAGCAAAGTATAAACTAAGACGTCGTCCGGGTATGAAAATTGTGCCGCGCAAGAAGGAATCTGCACAGTTTTACACCACTGATGAGCCAGTTACTCCTATTCATCTACCTCAAAGTGTAAGTGTATGTCACTTTTTCAAGTTCACGGGCAAATTTTCTTGGGAGGATCATTTTTGCATTGAGCTTTTGGAGAACAAATCATTAGAAATCCACGAAAGGGCATTATCAGACTGTTTATAGGAATTTTGTACAAAGCAAATCAATAACAGTTCGGGTTTACCAAAGTCAAAAAAGGGTTTAAGGTCCGGGTACGGTGGAATCATTTAGGACTCCTAGCAAACTTCTACCAATCTGTTTACGGTATAGAATTTGTTTTTCTTTCCGAGATGTTTATACAGTTCCATTTCCACTACCCAAGTAGTTATGGTTCAAGGGTTTTTCCCTACAAGTTCAAAAGTTCAGATTTACGTTATTTTAACATATTTGTTCAGGAGATGTTCCAACACTTCTCTGGAATGCCTCCTGATCCCGACGTGATGATGGAGGGCTATTTGTATAAACGCTCATCGAACGCCTTCAAAACTTGGAATCGGCGGTGGTTTCAAATAAAGGATAACAAACTGGTAAGCATTCGATAAATTGACGATTTTTATTTTTAAGCGTGATTTTTTTTCAGTATTTGCTTCAGTTTTCAGTACTATTTTTTCGGTAGTATTGGTTATTTATAATCAAATTGATATACGAAATGTTTTTTGTAGTAACACTGCTGTTCTTTTGTCCAGCACTTCTTAAGTGTTTTCCTTTTTTTTTCGATGGTAGGAAAATAGAAAAGGAAAGTGATTCCAGTATAGGAACTACCGTACATTCTTCCCTATTTTTAGTGCCTCAGTTTATTTTTTCTTCCCTCAAAATTAGCTCTATTCTAGAGAAGTTGACCTACTAATGTTTTTAGCTGTACTCTCATCGCACCGCAGAATCAGAAGAACCCACTGTGATGGAAGAGAACTTGATGTTGTGTCTTGTTCGTCCCGCTCCCCCTTCGGTCGATCGCGTTGGCTGCTTCGAGCTAGTGACACCCACTCGGTTTGTTCTATACATTTGATGGCTTTAATTTTTCCGCCACCTGTTAAAAGCCAAATTTATCATGTTTGTTATGGCTGAATAATCAGACCAATTGATAGGATGCTTTTTTTATTCTCGTTCATTATAGAAGTCATCTGCTGCAAGCCGACTCTGAGGCTCTGTGCAATGACTGGATGCGTGCTTTGCAACGAACCATTCTAGCCTTACACGAAAGTGATGACGTAATAGTTTTTTTTCAACTGAGTAGATCCATGTGCAATTTATTTTGATGACAAGCTCACTATTTTTTAGGCAGCTCGTCCTAGTTCATCCAGCAAATCGGACAACCGCAGTGTAACTGCTCCTGTTGGCGGCGTTCCTCACACGGGTGTTATTTCCTCCCCAACAGTATCGGACAGCGCCACCACTTTCGAACAAATCCGCCGAGTGCCGGGCAACGAAAGATGTGCTGATTGCGGGTCAGAGCAACCCAAATGGGTTAGCATCAACCTTGGGGTGAGTCTGTACATCCCATTCACTGCCTTTATGCACACAATAAAGTTGTTTCCATTTATTCAAATTACACTTTCTTGTTTTCATCCGAATATTACATGTTAATTCGTTTTTAATAGGTTGTGTTATGTATTGAATGTTCTGGAGTTCACCGAAGTCTTGGCGTCCAAACGTCCAAAGTCCGATCTTTAACGATGGATTCGATTGACCCCGAGTTGAGGGACGTCCTTCTTAGTCTCGGGAATTCACAGGTTCGTCTGACAATGAGCTAATACTGCTGCGCTATCGTAAACTCTCTGTTTATTTTCAGGTTAATGCAATATACCTCGCCCACCTCCCTGAAAAAGATGTTGTTCCGCCACCTGCAACGGATAATTCAAGTCGACAGGTATGGCCAGTAATTTTAACAAAGAAAAAGACTCATTTTTCTGTTTTCCTTTTGTTGAGATTCCTGCCAATTGGCCCCTTTCTCGATGCAAAGCTCGGGCATTACGAATTGAATTGTTACTTTCTGCTCATGTCCATGTTCTTTTTGTTACTACCTCGCTTCATACAAGGACTTATATTATGTGAGAAATGTGAGGAAAAGGTCTCTCTATTATCGTTCTGCGGTTGTTCGGTTTTAATTATAAGTCACAATCAACGAATTCTCAGCAATTTATTCAAAGGATTCCACGTTAAGGTCGAGGAAGGGGAAACTTACCCAGCGGAATGACAAGCGCACCCCCGAAGGGTGCGGACCGATACGCAAGTTCGCAACGAAGGATATGCCCGGCGATCTAGCATGGCCTCCCGCGGCGCTATTGCGCGGTACGCCCACCGACTGGCTAACCACTCGCCGCAGGTCTCTAGCCGTTTAGCAGAGAGAGCGTTAGCGTTGAAGAGAGCAGCACCGACGAGAGTCACATCAGTGCGGAAGTCAACGGCAAGGGTTCTTTCTCAGGTCCTGGGCCGTTTCTCATAGTTTTCGTTCATCCCAGCACCTCTGACCACCTCTATTTTAATTCCAATGGGCTGCCTCTTTCGTAAACTCCGCTATTTATAGCCTTTCTTCTTAGGATGCGTTCCCCACCCGCTTCTCCTCCCTTAAACCGTCTCAAAGAATAATGGAGATCCCTGAGATTCAGCCATAAAACCAGGGTGTCATAGTAGTTTTCAGGTCGAGATCCCCTCCTTTGCGATCATCCAAGTAATTTTTTGAGGAGTATATGTATTAGAGTATGCAATATGCTGAACGAGGTGCGCGCCGGTCGCCGTCGGACGCTCGGTGCATTATCATCCTTTTTCCACTGAATGCACTCCAATTCCTTTTTCTTCTTGACATTATATTTCTTCTGGACATCTTATGCGTTATGTAA